GTCAAGCATCGTATTCGAGCGGACCCTGTCAGCTGACAGAGCCTTTAACGCCGCCTGACTATCACTACATATGTATATATGCTGGTTACGATAACCTCTACGGAGGTTTTCTTGCGCACAGGTCGTGATGGCTAGCACCTCTGCCTGAAACACAGTACTGTGCTGGCCAAGGGAGAGGCTGATGCCTACTCTCGGCCGGTCACCGTGTATACCCATGCCCGTTCCCTTTTCCGTTAGGGACCCATCGGTAAACCACACGAGCCCCTCAGGTTTGAGGAACGGACGATCTGGGTTCAGCCACTGCTCCCTGTCCGGGAGAATGACTTTATACCTCTTCGGTTCAAGTAGGGTAGCTCGAATCACGTCCCTTCTTGCGAGGAAGGGGTCGGACCTAAGAGTTTCCTCCCAGATCCGCCCGTGTCCGAGACTGCCTCTATCCTTCCACTCACCCCAATCATTTAGTCTTATGGAAGCCCTCCGGGCCTCGGCCTCTACCGATAAGTGTAGAGGTTCAAGTCCCAGAAGAGCCTCCACAGCCAACGTTGGCGTGGTTTTCATGGCTCCAGTGATTCCCAAACAAGCGAGTCGCTGTACCTTACTCAGCTGCTTCTTGTATGTTACCCTGCGCGTTGCAGGCCACCATACAAGTGCGCCGTACAATATTATCGGCCTTATCACCGAAGTGTAAAGCCAATATACTAATCGAGGATTTAATCCCCATGTGCAGCCGAAAGCTCTCCTGCATGCCCATAGACATGCAGTGGCCTTCTTGCTAATTCGCTCAATGTGCCCTTTCCAGGACAGACGGGAGTCTATAGTGACCCCCAAATATTTAACTGCCCTGGTCAGACACAATTGGCGTCCTCGAAGGATGAGACCGTTAAGGTCCACATTCCGTCTCCTCGTAAATGGAACAATTTCGGTCTTTTCCGGGTTGACAGAGAGACCGTGGCTACTGCACCATCTATCCCCCTGTCCAAGAGCCCTCTGCATGAGCTCTTTTACGGTGCTCGGAAACTTCCCCACAATGACAATTGCGAGGTCGTCTGCGTATCCCTGTGTATACGCTCCATCCTCGTTTAGTGTACGAAGGAGCCCGTCTATCACCAGGCACCACAGTAGTGGAGACAGTACTCCACCCTGCGGACATCCTCTAGTGACCGATGAGCTCATCTCCGTAGTTCCGATCGAGGTTATGATGACCCTGCCTCCAAGCATGGCCCGGATCCATCTTACGATTGACCCGTCAATGCCAAAGCTTTCAGCAGCCTCACTAATGGAATCGAACGTGGTGTTGTTAAACGCACCTTCGATGTCCAAAAAGGCTCCCAGAGCTACCCCTCCAGCAGACATTCCCCTCTCCAGTCTACACACGAGACTGTGAAGAGCCGTCTCCGTGGACATGCCAGCTCTGTAAGCGTGTTGAAACGGGTGTAGTGGTCTAAGGACCAGCGCCCCGTTTCTTATGTATGCATCCACCAGTTTTTCTACCGCTTTTAAAAGAAACGATGATAGACTGATGGGCCTATAATCCTTTGCTGTGTCGTACTTAGTACGACCCGGCTTAGGTAAATACACAACTCTGACCCTTCTCCAGCTTATGGGGATGTACCCCAAAGCCACAGAGGCCCTAAAGAGGTGCAACAAGTGCAGAAGTAATGGTTCCAGGCCCTTTTGCAAAAGAGCCGGAAATATCCCATCAGGTCCTGCGCTCTTAAATGGGCTAAACGTATTGATAGCCCATCTCAGGGATCCCTCGGTAACAACCCCGGCAGCTACTCTCCAGTCGATCGGCCTTGCACCGACCCGGGTAGCACCTTCTGGCGGTTCCGAAGTTACATAGTCTCCAGAGCCTGGAAAGTGTGTTTCCAGGAGACATGTGAGGGCCTCACCCGCGTTAGATGTAAATCTGCCGCATGGAAGCCTCAGCGTCCCCACTTTTTGCCCTGGATCTTTCAAAAGGATCTTACGAAGTTTTTGAACTTCGGGAAGCCCTTCCATGTTGCCACAGAAAGTCCTCCACGATCCCCGTTTAGACCGTCGAATGTGGTCTTTATACCTGCGCTGTGCGAGTTTGTGATCCTCCCAGTCCGCAGGTAACTTAGTACGCATGGCCCTGTTAAAGAGCCTTCGAACCTCTTTACGAACTTTTTCAAGGTCCGAGTTCCACCAAGGTGTTCTCTTCATTCCCCGAACAGTTCGCAGCTTGCAGCTGTCTTCAAACGACGCCGTTATAGCGTCGCTTATCATTGCCGCCGCCTCTTCCACCTGCCCTGCTTTCCGGCAGAGCAAAGGTGGTTTATCCAACCGTTCTGTCAGTTTTTCAACATAGCAGTCCCAGTTGGTGGTTCGGGGATTCCGAAACCTACAGGGCCCACCATTGAATGACAGGTTTAGTTGGAAAAGAATGTGCCTGTGATCCGAAAGAGACGGTTCATCAGACACTCTCCAGTTTGAGATCATGTGAGCTATAGAGAAAGAGCCCAACGTTAGATCAATGACCTCCTGCCTCCGCGACGTAACGAAGGTGGGGGTTTCTCCCTGATTTAAAACATTCAAATCAGTTGTCTGCAAGTACTCCAGAATGTGTTCGCCCCTCGAGTTCGTGTCCGTGCTGCCCCACACAACGTGATGTGCATTTGCATCACAGCCAACCACAAGAGGGAGCCTTTCACTCCGACAGTGCTCTATCAACTCAGCTAGCTCCCTGGGAGGTGGAGCTTCTTCCGAGTCATATGGTAGATACGCTGAGCAGACTACTAATTGCCTGCTCCGTCCCTTTCCATCTTTCAGCTGAAGTCTTAGAGCCACTAGATCCCTAAAACAGAAATCAGCCATTAAATAAGACTCGATGCGTCTGTCGACATATATGCAAGTCCTGGTACTCAGTTGACTGTCCCTCTTATAATAAAGTGAGCCCTCAACCTGACTTAAGCCTCTTACTCGTCCCTTGTAAACCCAAGGTTCTTGTATGAGGCAAACGCCTGTCTGCCTTACAGAAAGTTGGCGGCCTATTAAGCAGGTCGCCCCCTTACTGTGTTGCAAATTGCTCTGTAAGAAGGTTACCTTGTCCATCACCGATGTACTTAGGCTCCCCCCTCCTCTAAAGATGCCGACGGCTCTGACCCCATCTCGGAGCCAAGGACCGCCACACGAGCCAACAGCTCGTCGACCTGCGAGGGCGCCAGTTCTAATTCCAACGCCTCGAGGTCTCCACCTAAGGGTTGGACCCCCTCCATTGCAGCGGAACTGGGTCCCGCTGCTCCGGCGGAGCCCTCTCCCTTTGCTTGCGCAGCCGGAGCACTCGCCTTCGTCACGAAAGTGACGTGGGAGACCCCCTCGTGCGCCTTAAGGTTCTGCCGCTGGAGTGCCCTGTAGGATGCCTCATCCACACCAAATGCGAGAAGCACCCTACCAGGCTCCTCCCTGCGGAAGAACGTCCTCCATAAGTTCGTCCTGAGCCCAGGATTTTGCCTATGGAGGCGCTTTAAAATGATGGCCGTGTCATCCGGGAGCCCGTGCAACACTGCCATCACCTTTACCACCTTTGGGACGTGCCTCTGTACTTTCAGAGACGCACCTTCCCAAGGCTTGATTAGAGAGACGGTCCTCTCCAGCCAGTCCAGAGTCCACTGGTCCTCGCACTCAGCCACAACGACCCCATGCGAGTTCCAGCGGAACCCGGCCAGCCTCGGAAAAGGCCCGACCTCCAAGTCGTCTACAGCCACATTTAGTGCAGCCATAATGCACCTCGACTGAGCCTCAGTGAGGTCCACCTCCGGGTACGACACCGGTAGGATAGCCACCTTGAGGCCCGCCGCAGCGACTTGCCCATAGGTCCGCGGTGCACCCGTGGGTGCCCCAGGACCTTTGGACTTCTTTTGAGGTTGCACCGAGCCAGACCCTGGAGTGCTACCCTCCGATCTGAGACGCTTGGTCCCAGACGTCGGTTCGCCTTCCTGAGCCACCGACCCAGTCGCAACCTTCGATTTTAGCACCTGACCCGAGGTTTTACCCTCGAGCCGCCGCTTCCTGGCCAACGCCTTTTGCGCCCCCGTCCTGTTCTTCTTACGGGACGGAGCTGGTCCAGGTCCTTGGGTGGAGCCCTGCTTTGGGGCTGTCCCCTCTTTCAAGGAGCCTGCCCCTACACAGGACCCCTGTTGTGGCCCTGGTTCATTGGTCCCCCCTGACGAGGAGCCCTGTAAAGGAAAATTATGTTTACTTGTATCCATATTGTTCCCACGAGTAATGCGGAAGAGCGGTATCACCTGCGCAGAGCCGCTTGCGCAGGGCTTGGCTACAATACCACTCGGAGGTCGCCCGGTATCCGAGGGGCACCGTTATCGACACTGCACCCCAGTGTCACGCAGTCCTCAGCACGGTAGCTAACACCTTGACTTGGGAGGTTGGTCCGCGGTAGCGACCTTCGTTGCTGCCAGTCTGGGTTTCAGCCCCGACGAGCAACTTATAATCGCTACTACCCACACAGAGACACTTGTCACCTTACGATCATTCAGGGCTTGCGTGGGCGTTCCCCTATCCGCCACCTGGGGACGCGCCCGATGGGTGCCTAACCGCACGGGTGATCGACCGGGAAAAAAAAGATTTTCTTATAGAATGTGGCCTTTGTAGAATCCATAATTTCAAACAGTTCCAAGATTGGGCTGCTAGTTCAAAAGTTACAGCCCTTTGAATTTTTTTCGAAATTGGTTTCTAGTCCATAACTTTTAATTGAGAAGTCTAATCGAAAAAGTACGTATCGTTTTGGATTCTACGCCCCAAAATTAATAAAAAAAAGTGTTTTCCCGAGAAAAAAAATTGTCTCAGATCGACCCGGAAAAAAGGCGACATGTACTTGCTGTAAGCATGTACTATACGCGCATGCGACAAGGAGTTTAAATACCTATGGAAAACTATTTCAGTTGATTATGCACGCATATTATCTGCCATTGATAGCAAACGCTTTAATTGGATTTATCGACTCCCCTCTATTTTCCTGGTGGAGATTACTCATATAAGTATTTGTTTGGCATTGATATCTAAAACGCTGTTCCAAGTCGTTCCAATTTCAGCATGTAGAAAGATGACAAAGGCAATTTATCAGGCACTAGCAACAGTTTCAGGTGGGTTCGTGTTTAATGTCCAAAAAGTCAGCTACCCTTCGTTTCAGTAACCTTCGGTATAATATCAGACGGTATGCATTATGGGTGGTCGTCACCCGTACTGCCAATTTTGCTGTCGGACAAAAGCCCGTTCGAGTTTCACCCTCGCCAAATTGTATGGATTGAGGTTTGGTTACTTTTGGGAGTGCTGGCTGGTGTGCCAATCGCTGATGTCGCAGTGAAAAGATACGGTGGAAGAAAACCGATTTTGGCGGCTAATGGTTTAAGCGTGACAGCATGGATTGTTATCGCACTTGCTGGGACTATCAAGCTGGTGTACTTGGCACGATTCCTGGCCGGGCTGGCGGCGAGGGTTGCATCGGTCGGTGCTTCTCTGTACATTGCCGAAATTTCCGACAAAAGATCACGTCAGTGGTTGAACTCGGTGATCAACCTGATGATGCTGTTGGGTGTCGTAATTGTCTACATTTTGGTACCTCTGTTGCCTATTTTGACTTCGTCATTGATTGGGGTTGCCTTTCTATTGTTGCAAATGGTGAGTTTTCCATGCACGCCCGAACCCACTCGAGACAGCGCCGAAGCGCAGGTTTTAGAAGAACCACTAAGGGAAGGCGAAAGGATAACGTTTTTAGAGTTCATAAAGGAGGAAAACAGCTTAAAGATATTGCTAATAGTAATGTGCGTGAGTTGTTGGCAACAGTTAGCTGGCTTTGGCGTTGTCGTTATGAATCTTCACGCAATCTTGACAGATGCGCATTGTGAAATGAACACTGATACAGTAGCGGTGATATTCGCTACATTTCTGGTCGTAGCAACCCCTTTAGGCGTGGGTTTGGTGCCCAAGTTGGGTAGTAAAGCTCTTCTTTTGATTTCGTCATGTGGCACGGGAATCGTACTATTAGTCTTTGGTGTTCATCTCGACAATGAGAGACAAGAAGAATTCAATAGCTGGATACCAATCGTTTTGGTGGTGTTATACGCTTTAGTGTTCCAATTGGGTTTGGGCTTGGCGCCTATGACGATTGCTGAAGAACTTTTGCCAAGAAATACTCAAGAAATAGTGAATACGATTAGTGACAGTGCTTCTGTGGTAGTTTCAATTGTGATGGTGGTATTGTACCCTTTGGTCAGTACATTTTTAGGAATAAGTGTACCTTGGTATATCTTCAGTGCTTTAACGTTTCTATTGTATTTGTTTACTCTATTTAGAATACCAGACACCACTAAATGTGCAGTACGGAGTTAGGGTTTTTTCGAAATTTGTCCTAACAATAAATACCATTGCACTGTGATGGTGTTTTAGACTTTTGTCTAATTGCCATAATTTATTTTAATTTATGTGTACTTATAAAGTAATGAACGCACGGTAGAAGCTGCTGTGTACGGTAGCCGTTAATGCCTAGAAATATACAGACTTTATAATATTTTACTGATATATTTGTTAACACAAAGATACAATGACTTCGTTGACATCGGCCATCTTGACTATTCTAAAACTACTCTACTGCTAACAGTGTAATACATTGCATTTCTCCCCTTTTTTTAATAAAAGTTACAAATCCAGCTTTTGAGGAGGTTTTACAATTCTTCCAGATCTAGTGGTTGATTGGGTTGCTGGAGTACCATGACTCACAGGATTATGAGTGACTACTGGATTGGTACTCGATTCTTGAATGTTACGAGAGAGACGTGGTACTTCTTCAACCTTTGGCTCATCTTGATTGTGATCAATAGGAAGTTGAACATTACTACGTTCTACACTAAGATTAGTAAAGTCATTAATTTCTGTAAGCGGAGGTTGTTCTTGTACACTATCATTTTTATCAAACTCACGCACTGATTGACACTTCCTGATATCATTTATGTGATACAATTTGATATTATCATCTATTTGAACAAGATATGTGCTATAACTCATGCATCGTACAATTTTTCCTTTTTCCCATTGTTTGTTATACTTATTTTTGACATAGACAATATCATTTTCTGAATATAATCTGATTTTATTTATAACGTCTTGTTGAAGAGGTTTTTGTTTTTTTGACCATGGTTTTAATAAGTCAAACCTTGTTCGAGGACGAATTTTAAAAATACATTCAGCAGGTGACAAACCTGTGCTGGTGTTAGGTGTATTTCTATGTACAAATAAAAAGTTTTCTAATTTATTCAACATCATTGCAATGGTAACTACCTGTTCTCCTCCTTTAAATAATGACCTTTGCAACCCTTTCTTTATAGTTTGAACTCCTTTTTCTCCAAGACCGTTACTTTCAGGGTGTTTTGGCGGAATTCTAATGAATCTAATTCCGTTTGAATGACAGAAAGAAGTAAAGTCATATGAATTGCCAAAAGGTGGACCATTGTCCGATACAAGTTCAACTGGTAACCCAAACACTGAAAAAATTTGTTTTAATTTTAGGATAGTTTCATGAATGTTTGTGCCACGATCCATAAGTTTAACTTCGCACCAACCTGATTTATCATCTACCAAAATCAAAAATGTCGCATTATTTGATTTAAAAAAATCGATATGTACCCTATAAAAATTATTAGGTGCTGTTGGCCACGGTAAAAGGACTGATTTGTCATTGGTAAAATTTTGAGTTGCTTGACATACGTCACATGATTTTATAAATTGCTCTACATCC